GTTCTTGCAGGTGTGGATGTGGTCTGGATGTTGTCCTGTGTCCTGTGGTCTCTATTTTAGGAAGATTTTTCTTTGTTATATTTTCATAGCTCTATGTGTTTTTGGGAGGAGATTTCCACTGCTCTACTCACGCCGCCATCTTGGCTCCGCCTCCAAAAGACCAGTTTTTTTCTCTTTGATTTCTAATCTGTCATAAACTGATACTGATACTTTCATAAGATACAATAAAATTATTTACTAGGAAAATATTTGCACACTCGGATGCCATGGCAATGTCAGGTTGCCTTGACAAAGAAAAAAGTTTCTAACTTAACTCTGTTATTTCTGTACTTCTCTTGTCTGACTGGTAAAGGTTTAATAATGGGCCCAGCTTCATTTGTTACACTTAAATAGCCCTACTCTGGGTGGTTCTCGTGACCTGCCAGGATTGAGAAGCACTTTAGAACATAAATGCAAACTAGTTGTCATCCTATAATGAGACTCAGAAAATTTTGCAGCAATTTTAAGGGAATTAATGTATTCCAGAAGCTATGCATGGACTGAAGTCTACAGGTTAAAAGCTTGGTATCTAATAGATACGAATATATTTTTTTAACTTTGATGTTGTAATGCCACATATATTCAGAAAAGGGCATAAATTATAAACTGTAGAGCAGATGAATATTTCTCCAGAATCTTTTGATTTAATGTGTCCTGATACAGAATAATGCAGATACATTATACAGCATAGATAGGAAGTTGGATTGTATGAAATTCACGGTTGAATTGAACTGTGCAACAGTCAGTTACATACTCAAACAAGCAAGGGTAGGTTATAGAAATAGCATTTAAAGGAAAGTGTTTTCATGCTTAGGGGGAGAGGGTATGGAGAGAACAGACTAAACTCTGAGTTCCTATTCTGCACTAGTGATGAGTTCCTGCCTCCTCTGAGGGCCATGAAAATAAGTTGGAAACTCTCCACCAAATAGCACAGGGTCATGGCTAGACAGATTATTTGAGCACTTGTAAAGTGCCCAGTAGAGATCATGCAAACACATGAGCTTGCTGAAAAGTAAGTGTATGACAGGACCAGAGACTTAACTTTTTTTTATTAAAGTATCGTTGATACACAATCTTAATGAAGGTTTCACATGAACACCATTGTGGTTTCAACATTTACCCATATTATCAAGTCCTCACACACCCCCATTGCAGTCACTGTCTATCAGCATAGTAAGATGCTATAGTCATTACTTGCTTTCTCTATGCTGTACTGCCTTCCCCGTGACCTAACTATATTGTGAGAGCTAATTATAGTGTCCCTTAATCCCCTTTGCCCTCCACCCATCCTCTCCAACCGCTCCCCTTTGGTAACAGCTAGTCCCTTCTTGGAGTCTGTGAGTCTGCTACTATTTTGTTCCTTCAGTTTTGCTTTGTTGTTATACTCCACAAATGAGTGAAGTCTTTTGGTACTTGTCTTTCTCCACCTGGCTTATTTCACTGAGCATAACACCCTCTAGCTCCATCCATGTTTTTGCAAATGATAGGATTTCTTTTTTTTTATGGCTGAATAATATTCCATTGTGTGTGTGTACTATATTTTCTTTATCCGTTCATTTATTGATGAACACTTCAGTTGCTTCCGCACCTTGGCTATTGTAAATAGTGCTGTGATAAAATGGGTGCATATGTCTTTTCAAATCAGGTATATTGTTTTCTATGGCTAAATTCCTAGGAGTGGAATTCCTGGTTCAAATGGTATTTCTATTTTTAGGTTTTTGAGGAACCTCCATACTGCTTTCCACAACGGTTGAATTAATTTACATTCCCACCAACAGTGTAGGAGGGTTCCCCTTCAGAGACTTGACTTTTAGGACAGTCACATTGAGCAGGCATAGTAAAGAGGTGCATCTGAGGAGAAATAAAACTACAAGAGACCTTATGCCTGCAGCAGAACACCTAGTTCTGTAGTCCTCAAAGAGGACCATCTATCAGACATTTATTACATGCTTGTTATATTCTAGTCAGGAGACTACTTCAGTTGGACCTGTTATAAAGAACTAAGTTATGTGCTGTAGGTGAGGTACATGCACAATACCACAGACTTGCAAGGAGCAAGAGGTCTGGGGAGCAATTATGGATGGTTGGGGGGCTTTGCTGAATAAGTAAAATGTGGACATTTGCAGAATAGAAGCAAATAGCATTCCTGGAGAGACACTGATATGACCAACAAGATGGAGATGAGATATTTAGGGAATGAGGACTGGCTCAGTATCCATCCATCATGCATTTATTTAAGTAATCCTACCTTGTGAAAAGGAATTGAAGTACCTAGTAATTGAGAGAGGCTAGAGTGAAGGGTGTGCAAAAGGAACTGTGGGATAAACACCAGTTTGGAGGTGACCTGGAGGCTGAGGAGTTTGGTTTGTATTTGATTGGCTGGCAGTGCAGAAATGCTGAGTGTTGGCTACAGTTTACTGAGACAGTAAAAGAGGGTGTGGTGTGGCCAAGCCAGAGCAAGGCAGTTTGGGTGAGAGTTAATAGGTTGTGATAGTGAAAATGAAAAGAAAGCCTTATATTTAAGGAACTGTAGGACAGGACACCTTGTGGAACTGACCATCAAGGGATTGATTTAGGCAGTTGAAAACCAAAATAATCAAGTAAAATGTATCGAGGCTTTCCTGGAAAAGTAGCTTGATATTGAACTTCTTTGAGCCTCCTTAGTTGTTCCTAGGTATCTGAGATTTTACAGCTTTTTGCTGTTTTAGAAAAGTCTAGCTACAATCTAGCACAGCTAGCAGGTCTTTTTATCTAGAACCTAAAAGGAGCTCCTCCATAAGAAGGACATAAATCAGGCAGGGTGAGTGTCTGTCTCCTTTCTTGGTTGTATGACCAGGCTTTTGTTGCCTTTGCTGGAGTTTAATTGCTGACGTAGAACAGGAGCTGGCCCGGTAGGTGGTTTCACCTGCCGGGGGCTGCTGTCCACTATCTCTGCAGGGCTCTCGGTCTATATTTTTTCTGCATGAATGCCTGCCATAACATTATTCCAGGGTTCTCTGAATGTAGCCCAAGGCAAACTCAAGAGGTTCTGATGAAAATCAGATAGCCAGTAAGTTTTTCAAACTTGAATTAGATATCTTTTCTGCCCAGTGTGGCTGTTCTTTAATGCTTACTGTAAGGAAGTCAGATACTTCCTGAGCTAAACTTAAAATGATAGGATAGTCATTGAGTGGTTCTCACTAAAGATGATTTTAAGTGGAGATCCAGTCATTTGAATGGTGGTCCCCTTTGCTTTGTGTGTAATATCTGCTTGAACTGAACTCTCAGTTTCCCTTAGTGAACATTTCCCGGTTAATTTTATAGAGGTTTTGCTTTCAGTTGAGACCTGCAGGAAAACACTCAGGCTTGTCGGGCGGGGTTCTGCAGTACCCAGGCACTATTTGTAGAGATAATTATTGGGTGTGATTTATTTCTTTTAGATTCTGAAGGCTTTCTCAAAACCAAGGAAAAGAATCAGAAGCTTTACACTCGAGCACAACGGCATCAAGAGAAAAAGGAGAAGATTCAGAGGCACAATCGCAGGCTTGGTGACCTGGTAGAAAAAAAAAACATTGACCTAAGAAGTCATTATGAGCGTCTGGCAAATCTTCGGCGATCGCATATATTAGAGCTCACCTCTGTCATTTTTCCCATTGAGGAAGTAAAGACTGGTGTGAGGTACAATAAGCATGTCTTTTGACTCCAGGAATAGATCAAGTTCCAAAGATTAAGTTTGTCAAATATGTCAATATGTCATTTATTGTGCCTCATTCAGGGGTCACTGGTAATGGGGTTTTCCTGGTAATGAAACTTTAGTCTTATCTTCTTGAGCAAACAGTGTACACTGAAGAAAATTGGGGAGGTAGTCAAGGTGGAGGGCGGTTGCCCTCCCGAGAAGTGGAGCCCAGGCATGTGCACTCACAGAGCTTCCAGAGGAGCTGCTGACTCACACTGCTGATGCAGAACCATCTGATGGCTGGTGTTGGCTGTCATCCCATTTGGGCTGTTTATTAGTTATGTGCTCTGACGCAGGTTCTTGAACCTCAAAGTCTAATTTCCTTGTCTCTTAGATGGGGGTAATAAATGCCTACTTTACAGAGAAGTCATGAGCTAAAATGGAAGAAAACACTGGTGTTCACTGTCTCTTACTTGGCGGGCATGACATGTTGTTTCTGCCTTTTCCCAGTAACTAGCTGCTGTCAAGCACTGGTTACTGTAACTTCGTCTTAGGCTGTAGTGCTACAGATACCCTCAGGAGTCAGTGGGATGGGCAGGACAGTAGTTCCCCACCGGGCTGTTCATCAGGACCATTCAGGAACTTTCGAAAAATACAGGTTCTAGAGTTCACTCTCCCAACTTCCTTCTAATACTTTTATTTATTTATTTTTTGAACTTCCCCTGATAATGCTAATGATTATCCAGGTTTGGAACCTACTACTGAAGATTTTCATTTGCTTTCTCACTACCATCAGGCTGTTCCAGTTGAGGATTTCCTGTCTCTTCTCATTGCTCTCACTTTCTGCAGCTTTCCCTGGAATTGGACAGTCAGTGGCCTGTTGCTAGTTAGGACTAATACTGTTCTTTGCTACCTCAGCTTCAGTGTGTTATTTGTCTGTTGCCAGAATTAGCTTCCTAAAAGCCCACAAGTTTGACTATTGCTTCTGTCTTGAAAACTTGCTTCTGACTCTTACAGAATAATTTCTCATTAGCAGTAGTTGGCAAATATAAAAATTAAAAGGCAAATTCAAAATACAGCAGAATAGAAAGTTCAGAAATAGACCCTAAAGTGGCATTTTGGATCAATGGCAGAAAGTTGGATTATCCAAAAATTGGTGTAAAGAAAAAAAAGCTGACAAAACAGAAACATTCTGACAAATTAAATTCTGATGGGCCAAGCTCTCAATATTAAAAGACACTAAGTAAACAAAGGTTAAGACACTGCTTCAGATTTTGAGAGACTAAGGAGGTTGACAACCGGATAGAAAGTAGCAGAGGAAAAACATGGAGGAAAACCTTTTTCTTCTATACCTGTGCTTTTAAAATATTTTATTAGTGTATATTATTATATACTGTTAATTTTTTCAGCCGATATTTTTAAGTTATTCCTAAATAAGTCTTGTTCATTCACATTTCTCAAACTTCCTCAAGTGAAAGAAGGAAGAAATAGAGGTACAGCTTAGAATTGGCCATAGTGCCCTCATCCCTAATCTTCTCTGTGGCAGCCAGGAGGAGTTATCTTAGGAGTATATTGTGGCAGAACAAAAAAGGATTGGGAACCACTGACCAAGAAAAGAGAATCTAAACTTGGTGCAGCACAGAAGGCCCTTCCCCGTCTGCCTGTTTCCTACTTACTCCATCTCTGGGCACTTCCCTTGTGTGTCCTGCATGTAACTACACTGATCATCTCCACTCCTCTGACATACTGTGTTCTTCCCACTGTGCGTTTGTACCTGCTGTGGCTTCTCATTCCCATTCCACTCTGTAGGCTAGCAGTTCTCAAAGTGTGGTTCGAGGACCTTATTAGGTCCTTGAGACCCTTTCATGGGGTCTGTGCAGTCAAAACTATTTTTATAATCACTAACACTTTATTTTCCTTTTTCACTGTGTTGACATTTGCACTGGTGACTCAAAAGCCACAGTGGCTAAAACCTCTGGTGCCTTGATAGATACCAAGGCAGTGACTCCCAAACTGTAGTGAGAGAGTCATTGTATTCCACCAGGTGCCTGCAGCTTAAAAAGGCATTTTCTTTAACGTACTTTATTGTAAGAATAAAGTATATCATACATACAGTTTCACATTAAGAGTGTTCCAGGTGAAGCAGTAGAAACTACTAATTTTATCTAAATGTTACCGCCTTGACCGTTGTGTACATATCTTTTTATTGCACCGTATGAGGAAGTAGTAGGTATGTGAAAAGCAGTTGTGCCCCACACAGGAGTGCCATGGCAGCTTCAAAAAAAGCACTTGAGTGAGTGGCAAGTGGAACTAGTTGTTTTTTTTTTTAAGGGACTCAGTTTTTACTTGGAAGAACAACTGAAAGACTTGGGTATGAAAAGAGGTTTTCGAAAACCTTGATTGGTGCATTGTGCTCTGCAACTCAGCTGGTCAACAAACTCCACTAATTTTCTCGTTTTGAAAATACAGATTTTTTTCATTAAAATAGGCTATGTTAACACATACAGTTGACCCATGAACAACTTGGGTTTGAACCACGCAGGTCCACTTCATAATGGTTTTTTCTTTTCCCAATAAATATATTGGGAAGCCTTTTGGAGATTTGTCTCAAAAATTCGAAAAGACATTTTCTTTAACTTACTTTATTGTAAGAATACAGTATATAATACATACAGCATACAAAGTATGTGTTTACCTACCTGTTTATATTATTGGTAAGACTTCCAGAGAACAGTAAGTAGGCTATCAGTAGTAAAGTCTTTGGAGTGTCAAAAGTTATATAGATTTTTGATTACATGGGGGATCAGTGCCCTTAAAACATCCTGTATTGTTCAAGGGTTAACTTGTTTTTTTTTTTTTTAATAAAAACCTTAATTTCTCTCAGATTTCTAATACAGTAAATAATCAATAGGTCTAACCCCCATACACAAAAGCTCTTTTGGGGGCCTCAGAAAATTCTAAGCATGTAAAGAGGTCTTGAGATCAAATAGTTTGAGAACCTAAAACTTGAGGCCTGAGCTCATGGTGTGGGCTTCTGTGCCACAGCTAGTTTGATCTCCACCTCTGACAGAAGTATTTCTCTTTGTATGTTCCTGTTAAATTCCTGTCCTTGAGTGCATCTTTTCAATGTTCTGGATTCCTGGCAAGTATGTTACATGTTCTTGAAAGCCCAGTCCCCTGAAATCTGTATGCATCTTCCGGTTTTTAGAGATCCCGCTGATGTTTCTTCAGAGAGTGACAGTGCCATGACCTCCAGCACCGTGAGCAAGCTCGCAGAGGCCCGGAGGACGACTTACCTCTCGGGGAGATGGGTCTGTGATGATCACAATGGGGACACGAGCATTAGCATTACAGGGCCTTGGATCAGCCTTCCCAACAATGGGGACTACTCTGCCTACTACAGCTGGGTGGAGGAGAAGAAAACCACACAGGGGCCTGGTGAGAAACAAATAGTCTCTGAAAGCTTTTTATGTGTGTGTGTGTGTGTGTGTGTGTGTGTGTGTGTGTATATGTTTTTTCTTTAGTTAAGGTAAAATTTACATAACAAAATGAATAGTTTTAAAGTGAACAATTCAGCAGCATTTACTACATTCACAGCATTGTGCAACCATCACCTCTCTCAAGTTCCAAAACTTCCCATCACCCCAAATGGAAGCTCGAAGCCATGAAGCAGTCACCTCCCCCTTCTTCCCAGCCCTCGGCAACCACTACCTGCCCTATGTCCTTACAGATTTGTCGGTTCTCAGTATTTCATGTAAACAGGGTCATGCTACATGGCCTTTTGTATCTGGCTCTTTTCGCTTAGCAAATTGCCTTCATGGTTCATCCACATTACAGCATGTATCAGCATTTCATTCTTTTTATGACTGCATAATAATTCATTGTATGGATGTACCACATCTTGTTTATCCATCAGTGGATGGACTAAAAACATATTTTTAGATATGTCACCCTTTGGGGATCAGTAATAGCTTTATTTATATGAAAAAAACCTCACTTTAAAGAAGTGTATTTAGCCCATTGAGTCCCATTTTTATAGTTTCTAACTTTGTAAATAAAAGAGCTTGTTTTAGCAGTCCTCAATAGAGATTGAAATAGCCCAATAGAAAAACCCTTTAAAACCCCTAGAGCTTCTTTTTGTTGGAGGAGTGTTCATTTACTTGTTCAGCAAATATTTAGTATATATGTGCTGTCTGTCATGCACAGTGCTGGTGATGCAAAGGTGATGTCACCCAGATAGGTGTAGCCCTTTGCCTTTCTATGGAGAGGGCAGGAATCAACTAGTAAGTAATAATCAGAGGCACCATAGACTGGGTGCTGTGGACCAAACCGCACCATCACGGAATGGGTCTCATAGCAGAGAAATACTTTTCCATAGGGTATCCTGGGAGGCCTCTCTAAGGAGGTAACATTTAAGTTGGATAGTAATTTTTCTCATAAATAATACATTACTGGGTCCAAGCAGTTCAGACTTTAATTTCATTAATGCTTGGCCTGTTTGGGCCTGTTTGCTTAGGTTTCATTCCACTCAGCAGAAACCACAATGATGAAACATTAATGTCTGGCCATGGCCTTTTGATTAGTAAGAAGTAAAATATAACCATCAATAATGTGATGATAAAATTACAAATCATAAGTCTAGGTTCATTGTTTTTGTTGAAATTCAAGTTGTTTAGTGTATGGTTGTCATTTTTATACTTCAGACATGGAGCATAATAACCCTGCTTACACGATCAGTGCTGCGTTGTGCTACGCGACTCAGCTGGTCAACATCTTGTCTCATATACTGGACATAAATCTTCCCAAAAAACTTTGCAACAGGCAAGTAACTGAAGGGGGTGATATCATCTTTGTCATGGATCACTCATCTTTCTGTTGTGTTCTTATTTATTCTAATTAACTTGAAAAGAAGAATTTAAGTATTACCAAGACAGAAAAGGTCTGACTGAAATGTTGAGATTCATTTCAATAGCCTAATGTGTAAATTTGTTTCATTATCTTAAAATTGCATGTGAAGTCTTTGAGAAGACCACTTGAAAAAAATTGAAGGAAAAACCAGAATGTTCAGAAGGTATGCTCATGTATAAGAACTGGGTAAATTATAACATTTGGATTTTGCATTATTTTTTAAAATTAAAAACGTGCCTTTTAAAATTAAAAATATATATAAAATTTTACAGTTTACCCAGTTCCTACTAAGAGCTTCCTACCCACCTATAGTTACTGTTGCTTTTCAAGCCAATATAAATACATATTATTACCATCCCCCCTACCTCCGACTTTTAAGCACAAAAGTTACCATTCTGTACTAAGGTGTTTTGCACCTTTTTAAGTTTTATTAACAAATACTTGTCAAGCACTTGTGTGTGTGCCAGGTACTGTTCTGGGCACTGAAGGGGGTACAGTGTGATCAAAACAGAATCCTGCTCTCCTGGCATTTACATTCTAATGGAGGGACAGTAATAAACCCGCAGGGTTGGGCTGACATAGTTCTCCCTGTAAAGAAGGTTAAAGCAGAGTGAGAGGGGAATGTGAAGGCAGGGAAGGGCTGGCTGTGTTTGGGCAGGTGTGTGATCACATGTAAACCTGAGGGAGGAGGGAGCCAGCTGTGTGGGTTCCTAGGGAAAGAGGCTGCAGGTCATGTGGGACCACTGTGAGCCCTCTGCTGCCATTCTGCACAAAGCGGACAGTTGCAAAGTTTCTTTTGTATAAACATGCCAAGATCTTTCTAGTCCCCTATTTATACTTAAAGGAATAATCTTCTAAGTACATTTAATTAGTGTGCAAGTATTTGTGTAGAATAAGCTTTCAGAAGTGCAATCACTTGCTCAGATAGTATGTGCATTTGTATTTGTTATTGGGGTATGGACGTGCTCTCTGTGAGGGCAGTCGTTCAGTCTTAGAAAGCTTCTGTTAATTTACTGAGAGAGAAGAAAGATGAGGGATATGTTTTATCCTGAACTATATATAAAGCATACTATTCAATATGAACATTTTAATTTAGAATTTCCTCCAAAAATACAATGTTACAAATTGTGTTTTACAGTGAATTTTGTGGGGAAAATCTCAGCAGACAGAAATTTACTCGAGCAGTGAAGAAACTGAATGCAAATATTCTTTACTTATGCTTTTCCCAGGTATGCAAAGTATGCTGAACTAATTTCTTACTTGTTACGTATTAAAAATATTAATTAATTTTTTGCCTTTTCTAGCATGTAAACTTAGATCAATTACAACCACTGCATACCCTCAGGAATCTGATGTACCTGGTCAGTCCGAACTCTGAACACCTAGGCAGGTAAGAAGGTTGCTTTCCTCCAACTAGTGGTATTATGACTGCTTTATTAAGTAGAGTTGTCATAAGTGTTTGCAGAGCATAGCCTACTCCCCACCCCTACTCTTCCAAAATGGACAAAAACAATGCGTTCTGGTACAGAAATAAATGTCCTTGTGTAATCATTTCTGAGAAAGTTAATATCAAACATACCTAAAGTAGAGTAGAAGAACTCAGTGTTCCTGGAATAGGGCTTTCTGTGCTGTCTCTGAAGACCAAAAGCCACCTCTTTGAATCTGTGTCTATTTCTTCTCTAGTGTAGCCTAGTGTCTACTCCATTTCTTGTTCATATTCTTCTGTGCCTGCTCATTCCTTCCCATCCTAACAGGTCTTCACAGTTCCCTTTTGTCACTGAGTCAATCTGGCCTCCGTTTGTTGGAGATAAAGAGTTTATTAGAAGTTTATGAGATGAACTAGTTTAAGATCCATTAGCTTAAAAATGGGAGTCAGTAACAAAAGAGACCAACCAGGTTTGGTCTATGGGGTGCTGCTTTTGGTCCTTGCTCTTAGCGGGCTATCTGTGCATTTCTGCAGACTTGACCTGGTTAATGTCTTTGTACTTTGGAAAGAGAACAAAGAAAAATAAGAGGTGGGAAAGTTCTTTTGGGACTCCCCATCCTGTTATTCATTTGCTTCAACACTGGAACGCAGCTCAGAGGGGATCCCCTCCATTGCCTGGGTGACCCATGTAGTGAACTTCCCCCGGTGATCTGCCCGTAACCACTGTCTTGTGTTTCTCTCTTTCTCACACACACACGCACACCCTTTTTTTGGGACATAGACCCCTTTGGAAAAAGCTGTGAACTCTCTCCAGGAAACTGCATGTGTGCCCAGAATTTTGTGCCATTTTTAAGGAAGTTCATGCCCCTTACCCCAATCCCATTCGTTAGTTCATGAGCCACAGAAACCTTTTGGAAACCCATTCTGGTTTTAGTGGTTGATTTCTGTGGGTTTGCTTGCTATCCTTTCTGTACCTTGTTTGTAAAGGGTTCAACATTAGGAAATATATCTTTAATAAGAATGAATGAATATTTATTGACACTGGACCAGCTACTTTATGTGCATTAAATCATAGGTAAGACTATTATTCTTTGCGTTGTGGTGTGGTCACTCATGCCCATGGGCAGAGAGCCAGAAAAAGTGGTGGAGCCAACGTCCAGCACATGTCTGGCTAATTCCACAAAGCAGTAGACACCTGTGCTTTTAACTGATGCACAGCATTCCATCACATTAACAGGTTAAAGAAGAAAATACATCAATTCAACCTGACAGATGCCAGAAAAGTAATGAGTAATATTTAGTTCTCTGTAATAATTAAGACTATTAGCAAAGTAAAAATAGATGATCAATAAAAGATATCTACCACAAACCTATACAAAATCTATATACTTAATGACATGTTATTTGCAAAGATATGTAATAGAAGCATTTCTCTACAGTCAGGAAAAAGAAAAGTGCCTCCTATCACTGCTATGCTAACATTGCTCTGAAGGCCTGGAACTTTATTTAGAAAGAAGTAAGGAGTATTTATATTAGAAGGATAGAAACTAAGTTGACATTGCAGACATTATTGACTATTGAACTGGATAGCCAAGAGAAATAAGAAGCTATTAGAAATGATAGTTCAGTATGGTGACCCAATACAAGATCAACATACTAAAAGCCATTGCTTTCTTAACATGTTAACAACTAGTCATAACATGTAATGGAAAAAAAGGGTTTCTTTTACCATAGCAACAAAAACTCTAAATTATATAGGAATAATCCTAACAAAACATGCAAACCTATATTAAAAAAATATGAAACTTTAACAAAAATTATTGAACATGTATTTCTCGAATGTCTGCCAGGCACTATATGAGGTATGGGGCTGAATGAAAGAAACAAGGTCTGAAGCAGTGAAGACCCTTGCAGGTTTCTAGGCAGCGAAGGCTCAGTATTGCTCTGGAGGCCTGGAATTTTATTTAGAAAGAAGAAAGGAGTATTTATATAAGAAAGACAGAAACTAAGTTGACATTATTGCAGACATTATACTGAACTGGATATCCAAGAGAAATAAGAAGCCTCCAGAGCAATGTGATACTACGGTTTTCTAGGCAGCGAAGGCTCAGTATTGTAAAAAAGCTGCTTCTCTCCATAAGGAAACCTGATCAGAATTTCAAAAAATATTTCATAGAACTTTGACAAACAAACTGATTCTAAAGCTCAACTAGAAGCACAATCTGCAAGGAAATTTTGAAACAGAATAATAAGAGATGGGCTTTGCCCCTTCTAAAACATAGTGTAAAGGTAATTAAAACAGGGCACTGTTAGCATGCATGTAGGTGGCGCAATTAGAGGAAGAGAATAGAGTTCAGAGGAGGCCCTGGCATGTGTGTGAGTGTAATAATATATGATAGGGGTCGCATGTTCAGTAAGATGATAATAGCTCAGTGGTGGTAGGCTAGTTGGGTATTCATATGGGGGAAAGAGTCGGATTCTTACTACATTCCATATATAGAAATAAATTCCAGATGACACAAAATACCTTATTCTTAAAAAGCTATAAAATAACAAGGAGAAAAGATAGTGTTTTATAATCATAGGGTGGGGAGAGAATTCCCAAGCAAGCCACAAACCCCAAAAACTAAAAGAAAAGGAGCTACACATTATACTGTATAAACTCTAAATGTCTCTGGTAAAAGACAGCATAAGCAAAGTTAAAAGGCAACAGATACGTTTTGCAACTTCACATGAAAACAAGTGGATTTAAATCTTAAGTTATTTAAACTCTTCCCAATTAGTAAGATAAACCGAATAGAAAAACGGACAAGTACTCAAGTAGGCAGTTCACAGAAATGAAATGCTAGTAGTCAGTATTCAAATGAAAAAAAATCTTCAACCTCAGTCAAGAAAAAAGTGCAATTCAGGAAAGTCTTTCAGTTTTCAGCCATTAAAAAAAGTTTTTGCCATTTCATTTTGACAAACATGCTACCAGTGTTGGTAGTGGCTTTCTTCTACTGAGAATGGACTTCTTTGGCAGGTCTGCAGTTTTCTCTGGGCTTACCATTGAGTTTTCCCATCTAGAAGGCTCCATCCAACTGAAGCACACATACACGTGCATATCCGAATTCATGCTGTGAACCCAGAGGTCAGAAAGTGGAGCTTCAGAGGTCATCTTTCACATTTGCCTCAGTCAGAAATTGGGCTTTAGAGATATTATTAATGGAAACTGGGTGGGACTTCCTTTTTCCACTGAGGCTAGTGTAACTTCAGGCTCTCATCCTAAACCCAACATAAATTATTTTGTCCTTAAATAAATTCAAACTTACAGAAAATTGCAAAAAAAATAAAAATAGTACAAAGACACATAAACTCTTTACTCAGATTCACCTTTGTATTTTCCTCATTTGCTTTATCATTTGTGCAATGTCTCCATAAATACGCATGTGCGTGCGTGTGCACACACACACACACACACACACACATTTTCCTGAACCCTATAAGGTTAAGTTACACACATCATGGCTCTTGCACCCTTCATTAACCACAGTACAATTTTCAGCATCAGCAAATTTACCCTTGACAACAATATTTCTATTAGTCTACACATCATTTTCTCAGTTGGTCAGAGAATGTCCTTTATGACAGCAGTTTTCCTCCCCAGTGCAGGATCAGCCTTGAATTGGGTGCTGCATTTATTTGCTGTGTCTTTTTAACCTCCTTTAAATCTGGAATATTTTTAAGCCATTTTAAGGGGCAGGACATTAACATGTTTTCCCTTGTCTAAGGGAACTTTCATTTGGAGTTTGATGTTTCCTTGCAGTGAGTTTCAAGTTGTACACTCTGGGCTGGAACACCTGCCTGGGTGGGAGCATCTTCTGGAGACCACATCTGGAGGCCCATAGGAGCCACCTGTCCCTCCCTGGTGATGTAATTTGATCACCCTCAGGATGCTTTCCAGCTTCTCCACTGTGTAATTCCCGTATTTTTCCTTCCTTGCAACTAATAAGCAGTCTGTGTGGGAGACTCTCTCAGGCCACGTAGTTACCCTTCTCATCAGAATTGCCTCCTGAACTAATTGCCTCCTGAAAAATCTATTGATTTTTCTTACCTGGTCAATCTTTTCCATGATGGCACCTACATTAACACATTATCATCCAAAGTCCACAGTGGCTTGTTAGCTTCACTCTTGCTACATATTCTATCAGATAACACTTTTGAAGTAAGATATTTTGCAACAGAGACTTTTAAAAAGCCAAGATCATCCTCGTGTTGCCTTGATGGGAATAACCAAGCAGTGGGATTCTGCCTTCAGGGCCTTTGCTTAGAGACCAGTTACTCACGTAAACTGAATAGAGGAGTGATTTCAATCTTTATTCCCCAAAGACATTAGGCAAAAAAGGTTTAATTCTTTTGCTGGTTCTCTGTGATGTGTGTATGGTTTGGGGTAGGCTGGGCAGGGGCTTGGCCTCTAAGCTGGGTAACAGGTGAGAGTCACCTGTTGGGTAACAGGTGGAGATGGCTCTGCCCCTGTGGGTTCTCAGAAATGTGGTTACTCCTTAGAACTAAAAGCCTTCCAACTGGCCTCTCTGGGACTCATCCCCCAGCTTATCTTTCATGTGAAGTCCTTAATTGAGCATCTGCTAATGCCAAGTGGACTCTGCCCTGTGGGATATCGGGCAGGAGCGTGAGGGGAGGAGGGAGTCCGAGCTGGCTTTTGTTTTGAGATTGGCTGGCTGGGATGTCTGAGACAAGTTCGAGAGGTTAGCAGCCTGCAGGCAAAGAGCTCTGGCTGAAGGGCATTAGGGAGTGGAGCTAAGGAAAGGAATCTGAAAAGATGTCTTTAGAGTAGACCTGTTTGCCAAGTAAAAGACAAAGGGAAGGGAGAAAAGAAATGAACTGTAAGGAGAACCTTTTAGGAAAACAGCAGAGGAACTCAAGAGCTGAGATACTAGTTTCAGTGGTTACTGGCTTGTCTGAGGAAGTTTCAAGGGGAGGAAGGAAGACTCAACTGGGGAGAACCCCCCTCCCAGTTCTTGCTCCCTTCACCTCTTGCAAAGTAAGGACTTTGAGCAGGATGGAGGCCTGATAAGCTTGGGGAGCCCCTGGTCTGAGTTCTTGGTGTCCATTGTTCCCTCAACACCAGAGGAAAACCTGTGGCACATCTTCTAATTTAATTAATACTTGGAAAGCCCTAGAAACTGTGCATGGAACAGAAATGTTAGCTACTATTATTACTGTGTTCCAGCTGGGAAATAGAGTGAGTGTCTTGGAAGAATGAAGGCTTACTTGACCCAGAAAAAAGTGAGTCAGAAGGTGCAGGTCTGGTGGCGTGCTTTGGAGGCCAAGAATTTTGGACTATAGGCCCAACTGGTAGACTGTACAATTCTAGGATATTTATTTATTCTGTTTTTTTTTGCTAATCTCTGTCATTTTTCCCAGAGTAGTTATTAGTGAAACTCTGAGGTGAACCGAGGCATATGTCCCTATCTTGGGGGCTGCTGGAGCCACTGTGTCCCACCCTGTCGCTGGCTGCAGGGCAGTGCCCTGGAAGGGCTGGGCAGAGTGACTGCTCACTCCGAGGAAGTGCAGCCTGGCTTCTCTGAATCAGGAACTGGCAAGCACTTGAAAGGGGGCGAGGGAAAAGGCAGCAGGAGGCCTGAGTGGGGTTTGTGGACACCATTCCACAGGAGCCTTCACAGGGCTGAGGCCTGAGAAAGGTTATTAGATTTGGAGATGAGGATGTCATGAGGCACCTTTGGGAAATAAAAAGTTTTTCCCTGATAAACAGTGTATGTACTTTTCCAGATGAATATTTTCCAAACAGTTGTATCTCATTCTATGCTACAAATGTGACCCTAGAAAATTATGTGGTATCTTAAAATGTGTGCATTAGCCTGTTGTTGACCTCTACCCAAGGATGCTTCCCTGACATTCATTTCACTCTTTCTAGTCTTCAGTTTAATAATTGGGGGCTTCCATAAGGCAGAGAACATCTGTGCACTTCTCTTTTATATACGATTCATATTTGTTCCACTGACTCTTTATACACCATTCATATTTGTTCCACTGACTAACATACCAGAGTATACATCAAGTGACTGTTCTTGTCAGAATCGTCTCATTGGAATGCATAGATAAGCAGTTTTTTTTTTTAAAGGAAATCATACTTTGGGGCAGCATGTAAAGTCTCAGTGGATGGGGTTTTTTTCCATCAAGATTTTCATAAATAAAGTAGGTAGAATGGAAAAAAGTATGGTATCATTATTTTATTCATTACTGGGATGGCAGTTATTAGGTAAATAAACCTTAGTTAGAGACCAAAAGTCGGCCCAGTGGTAACTTAGGAAGCCAGTGCAGTGACAGCTCTGGGTTTCTTGTGTCCCATCAGGTCTTATGTCACCTGTTGTCTGTTACGTATTATGTCTCTTAAAAAGCCCCCTCACTGTTTGCACACAGGTCAGGCCCCTTTGAAGTGCGAGCAGACCTGGAGGAGTCCATGGAGTTCGTGGATCCCGGAGCTGCAGGAGAGTCAGACGAGAGTGGAGATGAGCACATAAGTGACGAGGAAACAGACCTGGGCACGGACTGGGAGAACTTGCCAAGCCCCCGGTTTTGTGATATCCCTTCCCAGCCCGTGGAAGTCTCCCAGAGCCAGAGCACTCAGGTGGCCCCGCCCATCACGAGCAGCAGTGCGGGCGGGATGATCTCCTCCGCGGCAGCCTCCGTGACCTCCTGGTTCAAAGCTTACACTGGACACCGTTAACCAGCACGGGCCAAAACAGGCCAAGTCTTCATCGGAAAAGTTCTGCTGTACTCTAGTAAACAGACTTTGTTTTTAGGTAAGATGAGTGCCTGGAACAAAGAGAGGTTAAACTGTTGGTTTTTTTGAGGCATTTCTGTCACATGGCCAATGGTGGTGCCTGACATGCTTATGATAGAACCAGAGGGGTCAGAAGTCCATCTACTCAGACCTGTGTTGGTAGAAGGACCAGTCACATGGCCAGTTATGTTGAGGCAGAAATTCGTTTGGGCCCCCTCTGATCACAGGTCGACTTAGGTCCTCATGACAATGAGACTGATGCTGAGCACGTCATGTTTGAGGCTGAATCACGAGGAAGTGTTGATATTAGGACTCGAAAGATAAAAACTGTTTTAATATGAGTTTGTTTATGTACCATCGTTTTTTGTGCAAAGAACCAGCAGGCAGTTTGAAAACTTGATTTCTTTATAATTTGGTCATATTCAGTGTTTAGGTCGAGGCTTTTGGTTTTGCTGGGGACGGTTGGTGTTTTGTGGGGGCGGAGGGGCAGTTTAAAATGACGTCACCTGTGCTGCTCGGCGCAGCTCCTCAGACATTCCCATTGGTCCTTCTCCCTGCACACCAAAGAAACTAAGGTCTTTTTTTTCTTTAGGGCCCACATCTATGAACAGAAGGAATCAGCTGCAACAATGTCCTAAAGGTTTTTAAAATTATTTTCTTGTATTCTGAAGAGAATAAGTTCATTTTTACCTATATTACTGAATTCCTACCATCCACACTATGTGCATTTTGAAATTATTTTCTGAGTGCAAAGTAGGTCATTGTGGTCGTTCTTTACATAAGCTAAATGCTTTCCTGGGCACAGCTTGAAAGCCACTTAATTAAATGGTGTCTGGTCACTCTTCCAGTATCCCAATTTCTTTCTAAGGGATTTAGTAGGTGGCAGGCATTTCCAGGGAAAACCACCCATCTTGTTTGTTTCCTAGAGGTCTTTGTTCTAAGGATACTACCTTTGCTCAGAAATGCAGAGCAAATCATTACAGTTTTCTGTGCTTCTCTATCCTGGGGAAAGCTCCCACAGCAAGAATCTTCCCTCACCAAGAGGTCATTTTCAGCTAATACGTCTTCTCATTCTCTTAGTGACAATCTTATAAGAAAATTGTAAAGAGGCATTGTGTACAAATATGTAAGTAGTTTTTATTTTTAATAACTTCAGAAAAAGTCCTGTGTAACAACTACAACAAAGAAATCCTATGAGAAATTCCTAACAGGCAGCATTACCTTATCTTGTTAGTGTGATTAGCATGATAGTACCTCAGATAAATCACTTGGCAGGTTTGCCCTGCTCTAGCTTCTTTCCTTATTGTAATTATTATAGTTGATACTTTGCCTCCAAATCTGAGGTGCTATATAGCTTTTGCTATTCGCATATGTAGTATTTGGTAGAGTCGCAGAAGAAAGGTGTTTATGCCTACCCAGGAGCCCCAAAGCCCCTGACTCTCTTGAACTTCCCACTTAGGGAGCAATCAGGCTGTGCTGGGGGGTGGGGGGGTGGCTCTTACCAGTGTCTGCTCTGTGATGACTAGGCTTGCGCAGTTCCATGCCAATCTAGCTCAGGGAGAGTGGGTGGGGTAGGCCTTAGCAAGCAAACACCAGAGGACCTTAGGAGTTGTCTAGGCACTTCAGACCTCAAAAAGAAGAGCTTAGTCTCAAGAGTTGCCAGACTGGGACTGGGGACCTGCGGCAAGAGACGGACCTCAGTGGAGAGCTGCACCAGTGTCATGGTTTTCCTCGAGTAAGCCTCTGTGAGGCCCTGACTGAAAGGAAGCTAAAGACCAGAATCCAGACATCACGAAGTCCTAGCTAGAGTAATTTAACACACTTACAAGGAACTATGGACATTGAGGGACTGATAAGGGTGTATTTTGTTTATGTCAACTAGAGGCACTTTACTTAGCATTAAGTGAGCAAACCTATTGGTGGTTTGGAACACTGACACACTGGCTTACACTGCTGAAATGTTTTGGTTTCCATTATTCTGCACTGGATCTACCCTGTAAATATTCTTAAATATACATTTCAACCACTGAATTTTCTACTCTCCTTGCTGCTCATTAAAATCTTTTATGTAGGTGCCAGAACCATATGTAAACAGCTTTTTAAAAAACTGAAGCTGGTTATTTTTTTTTAAACAAAAAGCCATAGAACTTGGTCATGAACTTGGTTTTCCATATTAAAATGATTTGTTGAAACAAGGTAATACTAATAAAGGCCCACAGGCACCAAATAGGCTGCTTAAAATGGTCTGTTAAAGACTTTTTTTTGTAATGGAATATAACTAAGAAGTTTTGCACATCTGTAAGTTATGGGGAAAAACAGTATGTCAGTGTTGGGTATAGTGGATAGGATTCCTTTAAGGATCTGTGTGTGGGTAATTTGGGAAAGCGCATTCTGTGGCATACTATTGTTAAAAGGAATAATGTTCTTTTTGCGATGTGTGTTGCAGGAATTTCCCATTGTTCTTCCACCTCCAAACCAGTTTGAGTCATACAAATGTTTTCTAAATTTTTATTGTATTATTGCAATAAATCTTTAATAATACTTTGCTAATATGTGTGTCTTTTTCAAGCTGATTTTCAGAATTTTTTGCCAAGTAATGAAAAGCAACTATTAACATTTTTAAATTATAGATCATGGTGGTATTAATGATAATGGCCCATTCTCAGTAAGCTGGGAACCTGGTTGCTTACTAGTTATATATTTTCTCTAAAGATGCATTTTTCTTTTGTGGCCATGATATGATGCAGGTGCCCCCAGTGATTTAGTGTCTTACTGTGGCCCCTGGCCTGGGGAGAAAGAGGATGGGCCTCTACATTACCCATATGGAACCTGTCCAGATTTTCTTCAGCACAAGGGAGGTTAGCGGGTAAACAGGACTTGTCAAGCTCAGGGAATGGAGCAGTTTTGGAGGGTGTTCCCCCACCCTTTTTGGTAACTAATGGAAATCTGTACCTTGCCAGCTGTATTACTGTGGAGAGGGACCACCTGCAGGAGGTCAGGGATACCGAGAGCAATTACTGCGGAACAGCCAGGCCAACTCGAAGAAATGCTTGGAGCTGTTGCTGTGATCTTCCTGCTCCTTTACCTGTAGGAGGCCAGCCACGAGCAGGAATAGAAGAATTCCTAAACGGCACGTGCTTTCAGTGTTCATGCCCCTCAGCCTCCCTGGTAACAGTTAAAAAACGTGTTCCCACCTGCTGTATACATGGAGGTTCCCCAGTTACATCATGATTGATGCAGGAGTCAGGTTGAAGCAGATGGGAAGAACTAAGAATTACTTTGTCCTTAGTGGTTGAGAGGAAATCTGAAACTGGGCTTTTAGGCCAGTCATCTGAACCTCAGCTGTGAAACTGAGAGTGTGCCACCACATCACCCGCTTCCTAGGATCTGGTGAGGAAATACCATGGGGGATTATCTGAGGGAGAGTTTGAATGGTCCCCTTTAAAAAGTGAAAAATAGGCAGGAGGTATTTGACAGTACTAGGTAAGTGCTGAGAATTGGGCTACAGCCAGTTGAGTGGAAGCAGCTCCCCATCAGGAACGGTCCTCGTCGCTGAGGTAGCACCTCCAGATCCCTACCAGAGTGCTCATTACCTCCTGCTTTGAGCAGGGCTTTATTAGCATTCATGTTTGACTTTGGAAGACACCTGGATTTTGAGGAAAGGGCTTTCCTACTCTTCCCAGCAGCTTATTTCCCTGTTTATTATCAGGAAGACACTTTTCAAGCATAAGCAAGTATTTGACTCTCTTAATTTGGGTAAGAAAGTGTCATGTTCAGAAGCCATAGATGGAAGAGACACCTCCCCATCCAACTGATTAATGAAAGATAGATGCACTGCCTATTTTGGGTGTCAGTGATTTAAGAGTTCCTTCAAAGTAGGAAGGACCTCCCCACACGGAAATACTCATTTCTGATTCAGTGCATGGTGCTAGCTTAAAGTTAGGAGTTCTACTTCCTTGATGGCCTCTGAGAAAAAGTCTGCTTTTAAAGCTGGAGAGCTCCTAACACCACGCCCAAGACCCTTTAGCGTCTAAATCTGGCCAGAGCCTTCCTATTCAGTGTGACCTCAGAACAGCAGCAGCATCACTTGATCTTGTTAGAAATGCAGATCCCGGGGGCCCCTGACTCACTGCATCGCAATCCTCACTTGGTAAGTCATGTACACTAATAGCAGCATTCATCTACAGCAGTGCTATGCAATGGAAATAAGGTAACCTACACGTGATTTTAAATTTTCTGGTAGTCTCATTAAAAAGGTAAATAGGTAAAATTTTTATATTTTAACTCAATACCTAAAAATACTACATATGAAAAAAATCAAGATATAAGGAGGGGGCATAGAAGAAAGGGGCTGCAGGAGGGTCCTATTTGTATTCTTATCCTGAACCACAAAAATACTGGGGAGGGCTTGCTCCTGTATCTACACACTCAAATACTCCCTGAATTTTGATATGATGCAGGTGCCCCCAGTGATTTAGTGTCTTACTGTGGCCCCTGGCCTGGGGAGAAAGAGGATGGGCCTCTACATTACCCATATGGAACCTGTCCAGATTTTCTTCAGCACAAGGGAGGTTAGCGGGTAAACGGGACTTGTCAAGCTCAGGGAATGGAGCAGTTTTGGAGGGTGTTCCCCCACCCTTTTTGGTAACTAATGGAAATCTGTACCTTGCCAGCTGTATTACTGTGGAGAGGGACCACCTGCAGGAGGTCAGGGATACCGAGAGCAATTACTGCGGAACAGCCAGGCCAACTCGAAGAAATGCTTGGAGCTGTTGCTGTGATCTTCCTGCTCCTTTACCTGTAGGAGGCCAGCCACGAGCAGGAATAGAAGAATTCCTAAACGGCACGTGCTTTCAGTGTTCATGCCCCTCAGCCTCCCTGGTAACAGTTAAAAAACGTGTTCCCACCTGCTGTATACATGGAGGTTCCCCAGTTACATCATGATTGATGCAGGAGTCAGGTTGAAGCAGATGGGAAGAACTAAGAATTACTTTGTCCTTAGTGGTTGAGAGGAAATCTGAAACTGGGCTTTTAGGCCAGTCATCTGAACCTCAGCTGTGAAACTGAGAGTGTGCCACCACATCACCCGCTTCCTAGGATCTGGTGAGGAAATACCATGGGGGATTATCTGAGGGAGAGTTTGAATGGTCCCCTTTAAAAAGTGAAAAATAGGCAGGAGGTATTTGACAGTACTAGGTAAGTGCTGAGAATTGGGCTACAGCCAGTTGAGTGGAAGCAGCTCCCCATCAGGAACGGTCCTCGTCGCTGAGGTAGCACCTCCAGATCCCTACCAGAGTGCTCATTACCTCCTGCTTTGAGCAGGGCTTTATTAGCATTCATGTTTGACTTTGGAAGACACCTGGATTTTGAGGAAAGGGCTTTCCTACTCTTCCCAGCAGCTTATTTCCCTGTTTATTATCAGGAAGACACTTTTCAAGCATAAGCAAGTATTTGACTCTCTTAATTTGGGTAAGAAAGTGTCATGTTCAGAAGCCATAGATGGAAGAGACACCTCCCCATCCAACTGATTAATGAAAGATAGATGCACTGCCTATTTTGGGTGTCAGTGATTTAAGAGTTCCTTCAAAGTAGGAAGGACCTCCCCACACGGAAATACTCATTTCTGATTCAGTGCATGGTGCTAGCTTAAAGTTAGGAGTTCTACTTCCTTGATGGCCTCTGAGAAAAAGTCTGCTTTTAAAGCTGGAGAGCTCCTAACACCACGCCCAAGACCCTTTAGCGTCTAAATCTGGCCAGAGCCTTCCTATTCAGTGTGACCTCAGAACAGCAGCAGCATCACTTGATCTTGTTAGAAATGCAGATCCCGGGGGCCCCTGACTCACTGCATCGCAATCCTCACTTGGTAAGTCATGTACACTAATAGCAGCATTCATCTACAGCAGTGCTATGCAATGGAAATAAGGTAACCTACACGTGATTTTAAATTTTCTGGTAGTCTCATTAAAAAGGTAAATAGGTAAAATTTTTATATTTTAACTCAATACCTAAAAATACTACATATGAAAAAAATCAAGATATAAGGAGGGGGCATAGAAGAAAGGGGCTGCAGGAGGGTCCTATTTGTATTCTTATCCTGAACCACAAAAATACTGGGGAGGGCTTGCTCCTGTATCTACACACTCAAATACTCCCTGAATTTGCTCATTTTGGGTGTGCCAAGCTTCCTACTGAGACCCTAGGCAATAAGGAGCCTAGACTGAGCACAGACTGGAAGGAGGTCAAGGGGCCCGAAGCCCAACACTACTGGCCCTGGAAGAGGAAAAGTTCATGCAAGAGGTCCCAGCTTGTTGCAGGGGTAGGGGGCCAGCACCCAAGTTACTATTTCTGCTTAGAAGGAGAGTCAGTCAGGTCTGGGATGAAAGAATTGTTCACGGCAAGCCATGCACTTGCAGCAGAATCCTGCTCAGCCCCAGAGGCTCGGTGAGGAAGGCACATGAAGGCCGACAGCTCAGTCCCTGCAGAGACGGCCCCAGGGGCTGGGCCTGGTTCCATCCCTGCTCCTGCCAGACTGCATGTACTCAGTTCTGCAGATGGGACAGTAACCTCATAACGGACAGGGGACTGACAGAATTAAATACAACCTCACTCTATATTTTACTCATTGTTTGGCAACTACTGACCTTAAATTTGGTTTTTGGAGAACTGCATCAACCTCTTCATACTATTGAACAGCCATCTGAAAATACCAGTTGCAAAGCAACTGATTCTGATGGGTGGGAAACCAGAAACAGAAAGGAGGGAAATCATTTCAATAGCATAGATCAGTCTGTCCTAGTTAACTGAGACGGAAGCTGCCCCTTCCCAGGTCTCAACTTCTGCTGCAGCTAGCCTGTCACTCAACAAAAGTGTGCCACCTCCTACATGACTTCAGTTTCCCACCACGATACATGATACATATCATTCTCTACTGGGTGATTGGAATAAAGGATTTCCAAGAGTAATTTCAGCTGCATGCCATTTTCCCCATAAATGCTAACTTTACAATGTTCTCCCTGCTGTGTTTTATTCCAAGAAGAAGAGCAAAACATTTCAGTGGAGCCTTCTATTTTTAACTGCTTTTCCTAAGCCCACCTTAATACAAAAAGAATTTGAAGAGTGCCAGAACGAATTTGTTGTGAGGCTTGTTCTTTGCTAAAGAATGGGTAGGGGGCAAGTTTAATTCACATTTCAATAGAGAACATCACCTCTCACAAGGGTTGTGGTGTAAGAGTTTGCCATCTCTCTGCTCCCAACTACTTCCCAGCTACCAACTCTTAGTAGTGCTGCTCACCTAAAATAACACCAGGGTCCAACAAGCCATCCAAATGGGGTGCAGCCGAACTGTGGCTTTGCTTATTAAACCAGTTAGGCATAAATGCACTGGAACTCACCCAAGGCCACAATGATGTTTTCTCTTCCCGCAAGGTTGTGCTAACACCAGCTATGGCCACAAGCTTTGGAATGGTGTGCAGTGCATGTCAAAAAAGGGGATTGCATGTTCCCCAAACCAACTCACAGAGATTACAAAACTAGGTTGTATGAACCC